TGTGTGTGTGTGTGTGTGTGTGTGTGTGCCTGGTTCCTGTGGAGGTCCGAGTGTTTCCCCTGTATGTGTATATGTGTACCTGGTAGCTGTGGAGGGCAGAAGAGGGCATCAGACCCTCTGAAACTGGGGTTGGGAGTCACTGTGTGGGTACTAGAAACCAAACCGAGGTCCTTTACAAAAGCAACAAGTTCTCTTAACCACTAATCCATCTCTTCAGCCCCCAGAACCTTGAGGGGGGGCGAAGCCATGCCCACCTGGCTTTCCAGCTCCCTAATTTTTCAAATTTATTTATTGATTGTAATGTTGAATATTGAACCTAGGGCCTCTTGCATACTTTGCAAATGTGATACTGCTAAACCCTGCCAACCACACACCCCAGCCCCTCTCTGGGGATTCTAAGCAGGAGCTCTACCACTGAGCAACACACCCCAACCCTTCATTGGGGGATTCTAGGCAGATGCTCTACCACTGAGCCACACCCCAGCCCCTCACTGGGGGATTCTAGGTAGGTGCTCTACCACTGAGCTAAGCCCAACCATTGGTAATGAGATCTGGTGCCCTCTTCTGGCCTGCAGGCACACATGCAGGCAGAACCCTGTATGTATAATAAATAAATATTTTTTTTTTTTTAAAAAAAGGAGACGGAAGAAGAGGAGAGAGAAAGGAAAGAAAACAGGGGTGGTGGTGATCCTCCATTCTGCCAGCACTCAGGAGGTGGAGAAAGGAAGAAAGAAGTTCAGGAGTTCAAGGTCACCCTTGGTTACACACTGAATTCAAGTCTAACCCGGGGTACAAGAGACCCTGCTTTTTTGTTTATCTGTTTGTTTGTTGTTTCTTTGAGACGGGGTTTGCTGTAGCTTTAGAGCCTGTCCTGGAACTTGCTCTGTAGACCAGCTGGCCTCGAACTCAGAGAGATCCACCGGCCTCTGCCTCCTGCTGGGATTAAAGGTGTGTACCACCACCGCCCAGCTTTCTTTTCTTTTCTTTTCTTTTCTTTTCTTTTCTTTTCTTTTCTTTCTTCTTTCTTTTAAAGATTTATTTATTTATTATGTATACAGTGTTCTACCTACAGGCCAGAAGAGGGCACCAGATCTCATTACAGATAATTGTGAGTCACCATGTGGTTGCTGGAAATTGAACTCAGAACCTCTGGAAGAGCAGGCAATGCTCTTAACTTCTGAGCCATCTCTCCAGCCCCTGAGATCCTGTTTTTAAAAACAAAAAGAAGAAAGGCTTGGCAGCTGAAGGGAGCTGAGAATGGTGCAGGTAGTAAAATCTTTGGGAGCATTAGGACCGACGTTCAAAGCCCACAATTTATGTTTACAAAAAGCTGGGTGCATGTTTTACACCCCAGTGGATCCCTGAGGTTCACCTCCTTGGCCAGCAAGTCTCATCTACTTTGTTTGTGGCAATGAGATAGAATAACAGTAGGACCTTTGCCTTGACAAATCCATGTACACCTGCATAGACACACAGAAAGAAATGGAGGGAGGGGGAAGGAAGGGGGCAAAGGAAAAGATGAATTAACTTCTGCGGTGCCAACAGTATATGTGTGCCCATCTAGTTTTAGCATGAAAAGAGAACACCAAGGTGGGGAGACTTCGCCCTCCCCCATCCTTGCTTTCCAGCTTCCTAACTCGCCTACAGCCCATCAGATAACTTCTCAGTGACATGACACAGAGAAGCCCTGCAAAAAGCTTGTGGTTCCATGCACCTCACTGGGGGCATCTAGGCAAGTGCTCTCCCGCTGAGCCACACCCCAGTCCTTCACTTGGGGATTCCCTAGTGCAAAAGATGCTATACAACTGAGAAGGGAGGGTCTGGAAACGTTCCCCAGGAATGTGTCCTGATGCCCCCACATCTGTTTCAGATAGGATTTCAGTAGCTCAGGGTGGTTTGGACCTTGCTACACAGTGGACTGGATGAAGAAGGCCCCTCTGCTATTGTCCCCCAAGTTAGATGCTGCCATGCCCGCTGCCGCCGCCCCCTGTACTCCCTCCTCTTCCTTCTTGTTTGTGACAGTGTCTCACCATGTAGACCTGGCTGGTCTGAAACTCACAATGCAGACACACTCACCAAGATCCTTCTGCCTCTGCCTCTAACCATGCCTGACTGCTTTTGAATCTTTATTATTATTATTATTATTATTATTATTATTATTATTTATATGTGCTCTGCCTGCATGTATCCCTGCAGGCCAGAAGAGGGCACCAAATCTCATTACAAATGGTTGTGAGCCACCATGTGGTTGCTGGAAATTGAACTCAGGACCTTTGGAAGAGCAGGCAGAGCTCTTAACCACTGAGCCATCTCTCCAGTCCTGCTTTTGAATATTAAATAAGATAATTTATTCAAGTGTTGGGCATATGGATCAACAGAACCTGGAGTCTCACAGTTCCCTTCTGCTTGGATGGGATCCAGCAGGCCAGTAGAGACGACAAAAGTAAATGTATTTCTCCAGGGCTGGGTTCCCAGCCCAGCACAGCCTTTGATTCTATTGTCTTGCCACAGAGGGGTTGTCCCCAAATATATGACTGTAACCTTCTCTGGGTAATATCATTCACTGAACCTCATCTTAGTGCTAGGCCCTCTTGTATCTGTCTTTAACACACCAGCCATCATTGGATAGATAGGGACGTGGTTCTAAGAGGCTAAGCTATTGACTTGCTTGAAGTCAAACAGCCAAGGAAGAAGCAGAGACAAGAAATCTGTCTGAGTGACATAAGTCCTGTTGTTTTTCTTTTTCCCAACATCTGCCTAAACCACACCAGGTACCTATAGGATGTTCATTGAACAGCTGGTATTGCTGGGCAGTGGTGGTGCATATCTTTAATTCTAGCACTTGGGAGGCAGAAGCAGGCAGATCTCAGAGTTTGAGGCCAGCCTGGTCTATGGAGGAGTTCCAGGAGAGCCAGGGAGGGCACAGGCTGATCTGTGCAAAAGTTTCTTCATTTACTAAGCATTGCAATCGGACTAGTGGGGTATGTAAATGCCCCCCACATATACATATCCTTTTTGTGCTACTGGAAATGGAACCCAGGAACTTGAACATTATAGGTAAGTGTATTACTGTTGACCCACATCCCCAGCCTCTCACTCGTTGATGGATTCTAGGCAGACATTTTACCACTGGATGACTCCCCTAGACCCACACTGGGGGATTCTAGGCAGCTGTTCTACCACTGAGACCCAGCCCCTCACTGGGGGATTCTAGGCAGGTGCTCTACCACTGAGTCACACCCCAACCCTTCACTGGGGGCCTCTGGGCATGTGCTCTACCACTGAACCACACCCAAGTCCCCCATTGGGGGATTCTAGGCAGGGGCTCTACCATTGAGCCACACCCCAACCCCTCACTGGGGGATTCTAGGCTCTACCACTGAGCCATACCCCAGCCCCTCACTGGGGGAGTCTAGGCAGGAGCTCTACCACTGAGCCACACCCCAGCCCCTCACTGGGGGATTCTAGGCAGGTGCTCTACCACTGAGTCACACCCCAGCCCCTCACTGGGGGCCTCTGGGCATGTGCTCTATCACTGAGCTCTGATTCTAACTGGTTTCTTTTCCAGAGAATCTCAAGTAGGGGCTGGTGAATGGGTTGGGTCTTGAATTAGCATCCACTGCTGCCTCCTTCAGAGCTTTCAAAGTGCCCTCAGCTGTATCTTGTCCTTGTCTCACCTTAGAAAGTGACCTTTGGGGGGGGGCTGGAGAGATGGCTCAGAGGTTAAGAACATTGCCTGCTCTTCCAAAGGTCCTGAGTTCCATTCCCAGCAACCACATGGTGGCTCACAACCATCTGTAGTGAGGTCTGGTGCCCTCTTCTGGCCTTCAGGCATACATGAAGACAGAATATTGTATATACAATATATAATATAATATTGTATATATAATAAATATATATACAAAATATTGTATATATAATAAATATATATACAAAATATTGTATATATAATTAATTAATTAATTTAAAAAAAGAAAGTGACCTTGAGCCGGGTGGTGGTGGCAAACGCCTTTAATCCCAGCACTCGGGAGGCAGAGACAGGTGGATTTCTGTGAGTTTTAGGCCAGCCTGGTCTACAGAGCTGGTTCCAGGACAGACTCCAAAGCTACAGTGAAACACTATCTAAAAAACTAAAAAAAAAAAAAAAAAAACAACCTAAAAAGCACCCTTTGGCACATGTTCCTCAAGACCCTCTGAGACCCTCAAGACCCTCTGAAGGCCAGAGGATGCTCAAGGATCCTCGCACTGAGGGCTCGCTCTCCCTACAATACCGACGTCATGTGCTCTGCAGGAGCTGGCTCTGGGTTCTAGGAATGGAGCCCTCTGGCTCGAAGGAACCCTCCCAACCCTGAGGGACCCATGGCGCCCACTCACACTGAATGTACCAGGCCCTCCAGATGGCATTGTTGAGGCGGATCTTGTCCCGGCACAGCAATTTGAGGCCTTTGAAGTTCTTCCACTTGGGAGAAACCAGCTTGCCGCTATTGGAGAGGGAGAGAGGGAAAGCTATCAGAGTAAGGGCAGGGAGAGAGAAGATGGAAGCATTTCAACAGCAGCCGTCTAACTATGGCTGGAACGTCCCCAGAATCCCCACATCCTGTCTATAATCTAGTAGGCTTGAAACCTTACAAATGCCATCTAGTCCCCACTCTGTATCTATTGGTTATCTCCTCTCATCCCAAGTTGGTAATGCTGTCCATTGGCCTCAAGGAGAAGAGTTTCCACATCCAGCGTGTGCACGCGTGCGTGCGTGCATGTGTGCATGCGTGCGTGCGTGCGCGAGCGCAGAAGGAGAAAGAGTTTTTTTTAAGATTTATTTTTATTTTTATTGGTGTCTTGCCTGTACATTTGTCTGCGTGAGGGTGTCAAATTTCCTGGAACTGGAGTGATAGACAGTTGTGAGCTGCCATAGGTGCTGGAAATTGAACCTGGGTCCTTGGAAGAGCAGGCAGTGCTCTTGCCCAGTAAGCCATCGCTCCAGTCCAAGAATCTTTCCTGCGCTCTCTCTCTCTCTCTCTCTCTCTCTGTCTCTGTCTCTCTCTCTCTCTTTCTCTCTCTCTTTCTCCCTTCCTTTCTTTTCTACTTTTTTTTTGTCCCCCACCCCAGACAGGGTTTCTCTATAGCTTTTGGAGCCTGTCTTGGAACTCGCTCTGTAGACCAAGCTGGCTTCAGACTCACAGAGATCCGCCTGCCTCTGCCTCCCGAGTGCTGGAATTACTACCACTGCCTAGCAGCCCAACAGTTTTCTATAGATAGTCCAGGCTGGCCTGGAATTAGAAATCACAGAGAGACACTAAAGACCGCATCCCTCCCCGAGGAGGACTCTAGAGGCCCCACCCCTCCTCAAGGAGGACTCTAAAGACCCCACCTTTCCCCCCCCCACCAGGAGGACTCTAGAGGCCCCAGGAGAACTCTAGAAGCCCCACCCCTCCTTGAGGAGGACTCTAGAGGCCCCCCAATAAGAATCTATAGGCAGTTGGCAGCTGCTGGGAGAGGGTGAGACGGTCTCTACACCTGTAAAGACACTGGTCGAAAGCCCATGCTCCTACAAATAATCCCTCAGCCATGAAGTTATAGCCACCCTAAACTCTCTAGGTAACAACAGGAAAAGGCATGATGGCCAGTTAGACAGCTCAGCAGGTAAGGAGGTAAGGGTGCTTGCTGTCAAGTCTGGTGACCTGAGTTTGATCCTCATGACCCCCATGGTGGAGGGCTATAGAACAGACTCCAACAAGTTGTCCTCTGACCACCACGCCAAGGTATTCACCCCCCCACACACACAGTTATTTAAAATTGTAAGATATGACACTGGCAGTGGCGCACGCCTTTAATCCCAGCATTTGGGAGGCAGAGGCAGGTGGAGCTCTGAGTCCGAGGCCAGCCTGGGCTACAGAGCAAGTTCCAGGACAGCCATGGCTGCACAGGAAATCCCTCCCTATAAAAGTAAGACATGAAAATAGAAGGGAACTAGGAAGAGGAAGGATGTGAGCTGCAGTGGGTGAGGACAGAAGGGTGTAATTCAAATACATTGTACACGTGTGTAAAACGCCATAAAGGTGTAAAATTAACACATAATGGTGTATAATTAATATAGGCTAATAAAAAGCTTTTTTAAAAAAACAAGGAAATCCTTCTGCCTCAGCATCCTCAGTACTGCAGGTATAGGAGGTGTGCTCCATTATGGAAGGCTCTCACATCTCTCCCTGCCTTTCGTCTTTGAGAGAGGGTCTTTCCTAGCTTCAGACAGCATAGAGTAAGTCTTGAGTGTGTAATCTTGGGCTCAGTACATAGCCAAGGCTGGCCTTGAACTCCTGATCCTCCTTCCTTCCTCTGCTTCTAAAGTGCTGGGACTACAGGTGTGCACCACTGTGTCCAGCTTCTCATACCCATTTATTACATCTTTTTTTTAAATAACAGGTTTTATTGATATTTATTTTATATGTATGAGTGTCTACCTGTACCACTTGCATGCCTGGTGCCCACAAGGGCCCCGAAGATGGCATCAGATTCCCTGGGACTGGAGTTACAGATAACTATGAGCTGCCATGTGGGTTCCAGGAACCAAACCTGGGTCCTCTGAAAGATGAGCAAATCCTCCTAATCAACCAAACCATCTCTCTAGCCCCAAACATCCACTTCTGAGGGATAGGATGAAATGGACTTCCTCACGGTCAGGGAGGAAAAGAGTCGTTTCCAAAGGGACATAGTAAGGATGTAGCCCTGGTTGGCCTAGAATTTACTATGTAGACCAGGCTGGCCTTGAACTCACAGAGATATGTTTGACTCTGCCTCCTGAGTGATGAGATTTATTGTGTGTATCACCATGCCTCGCTTCCAGTCCCTTTTTGCTTGCCAGTCACACGGGCTCCCATAGATTTGCCCATAAGAGACTTAGGGGAAGAAGACAGTTTGCTGGGATAAGAAGGAAGTGCCCGTGTGCCCACAGCACATGTGTGGCCATCTAGAGGAAGCAGAAAGCCATGCCTTTCTCCCAGTAGCATAATGGAAAGAATCATTTGGCCAAAGGAAGACAGCATGGAAACAGAATCTTAATCTTGACCTTAACCTAGGGATCCACAGAGTACATAGTGGGAAGGAGTTGAACATAGGTAATGACTTCAGCTCCAAAGTTCCCTCTGAGAACAGGTCACATTATCACCGCCTGGAAGCTGACCCAAGAGGCCAAGATGAAGATGATAAAGACCTTGGACACCTCCCCACCTCACCCTTATCCCTTCCTACCTTCCTTCTTCATTGTCTACAAGCCAAGCCTGCATCCAAGCCACTCTGATCTATTTTTTCTCTTCTTGCTCAAGGAGGCCCTAAGAGTTAGCCTTCCAGGGACTGGAGAGATGGCTCAGTGGTTAAGAGCACTGGCTGATCTTCCAGAGGACCTGGGTTCAATTCCTAGCAACCACATGGTGACTCATAACCATCTGTAAAGAGATCTAGTGCCCTCTTCTGTCATGCATGCATGCGTGTAGGCAGAACACTGTAGATACTAAACAAATGAATCTTTTATATTAAAAAAAGAATTAGCCTTTCATAAAGACAGGCTGGGTTTGGGGGTGTGGGTCTGCTATAGAGGACTTTCTAGAATCCCCCAGTGAGGGGCTGGGGATGTGGGTCAATGACGGAGAGCTTGTCCAGGAACTGGACAAGACCTGGATTCCATCCTCAGAACAATATATGCACACACAAAGTCAGGCCTACTCTCCTGGTGGCTCCCCTCATGATCTGGGTAAGCGGTGGGTAGATGGCCACCTGATTCGTTTTTTCCTTTCTTCCTGTACTACCGTGAGTGCATGGGTCATTGGGCCTCCTCTCCTTTCTGGTCTCCAAGCTCCAGTATTTGTTTTAGGTTAATGGTGGCTGCCAGGGTGTGGGATGTGGGGTGGCAGGGGTTGCCACCTCAGAACGCAACAGGCTTCATTACCCAAATAGGCCACCCCTAGCCTGATGGCTGGCCCCCTACCTCCCAGAGCTAGATAAATACCATCTGTCCAGTAAGGCAACATGATTGGGTGGGGGACGTGGATTTTTCCTGAGGCAGCTTCTTTGGTGGTGTGGGGTGAATGGGGGACACTCCTGAGTTTGTGGTCCCTGTCTGTAACCCAGCAACCGTTAGGTTTCGCTCACCCAGGGTCCTACCTCAGCCTTCTGCTGTCGGGCCTCCAGCTCCCTCAGAGGGTTGGTAGCCTAGGCTGAGGGAGATGAGTCCGTGATAAGATCAAGCCAAAAGGAAAGGATTTGGTTGGATGCATGTGAGGGGAAGAGACTGGTTCGATTAAAAAAAAAAAATTCTAGGGCCAAGGTTCAAAAGCTGTGAGTAATGGGGGATAAACAGAAAATCTCAGAAGAGGGAAGGGGAAAAGGAAGGGAAGGTTAGGCTTGTAGAGACCAGAGGACCATTCTTAAATATGGCTCCTCAGATGCTCTCCACCTTGGGGTTTTGTTGTTGTTGTTTTCCGAGACAGAGTTTCTGAGTGTAGCCCTGGCTGTCCTGGAATTTACTCTGTAGACCAGCCTGGCCTCGAACTCACAGAGATCTGCCTGCCTCTGCTTCTTGAGTGCCAACACTGCCCGGCTCCACCTTAGCTTCTGAGACAGTCTCATTGACCTGGGACTCACCCACCAAGTAAGCGAAGCTGACCGACCTTGGAGCCACAAGCATCCATCTGTCTCTGGGCTCAGTACTAGGACCGCAAGCACACACTGGCAAGCCGGGCTCTTTTCTCTGTGGGTTCTGGGGATTGGACTCAGGGCCCCAAACTCCCAAGGCAAACACTTAACCAACAGAGCTATTTCCCCAGTCCCTCTTTGTTGTCAGTTTGTTTAATACAGGGGACTCGCTATGCAGCCCAGGCTGGTCTGGATCCTCATCCTCCTGCCTCAGCCAGCAGTGTTGGGATGACAGACCCGTGCCAGCACTCCCGAGACAAGAGCCTTCTTGAAAGTTTTACAGCTGTCCTCCCTGGGGCTTCCACCCACAGAACCAGGGAACACAGTGTGCCAGAAGATCCTTGGCGAGGGTGAAGTACGCAGGCGGGTGCAGGCGGCCTTCTCCCTGTCTAACTGACCAGTTCCACCCACCACTGGACCCCCTGCCTGCTTGCCCAAGCCCCACCCATCTCTCTAGCTGCTCTCTGGAGATTCTCACCCTCTGAAATCCCCTTTGCTTCACAGAACCCCTATCACGGGAGGGGGGTTGTCTTTGAAAGTCTCTCTCTCTCTCTCTCTCTCTCTCTCTCTCTCTCTCTCTCTCTCTTTCCTTCTTTGAGACAGGATCTATTTATTTATTTGAGACATGTATCTTGGGCTAGCCCCGAACCTTAAATTCCCATGCAGCAGAGGCTAACCCTGACCTCCTGACCTTCCTTCCTCAGTCTGAATTCTGGGATTCCAGGCATGCTCACCCACAAATGGATTTTGAGCTTGAGCATGGGGTGTTTACTTTTGTTTTGGTTTTTATTTCTTATCACTGGGAGGGATGTGCTTGGCCTGCGGGGGTGGGGGGTGGAGGGTGGAGGTCAGAGGACAACTTTATGGAGCCCATGCTCTCCAGCCACTTTGATGCTGCAAATAACCGTCACTCGCAAAGCTAATCTCCCAGCCCATATTCTGTTTTTTTCCATCACCAAGGGTGCAGAACCAAAGACTCCTGTGTACTTGGCCTCTCCCACCCTTGGTGTTTAGAATCCCATTTAGGAGAATTTAATGTCCTGGCTTCTTGGGGAGGAAACGCTGCGCTCTCTACCCTAGCTTCTGAAGGAGCAGTTTTGGGAGTGTGTTCTGTCCGTCCGAGTACTATTTCCCTATAACCTCTCTGGCTCATAATATGGCTTGGGAGGCCCAGTAAGCCAGCCTTGAGTGCTGTGTAGACAAAGTAGGAAGCCCGAGTTGGGAGTGGTTGGGAAATGGGAGACCCTTTGGGGGAACCTGGGAACCCTAGGCTTCTTGTGGGGTTCTCATTACTGGCTCCTCATGCCTGTAATTCCAGCTCTTGGGGAGGCCAAGAGTTCCAGGATAGCTTGATCTAGTGTCCAACCCTGTCTCAACGAGAGAGGGAGGAGGAAGGATATCCCCCTCTTCCCCATGTAACCCCAATAATTGGGAATCTTTGATAGATAGAGCACTGTCCCTGTGTGAGCTGCATCTGGTGGTATTCTGAGACCTTAAATGCCCTCTTCCCAGGGAGTCTCAAGATGTCCAAGGGCGGGGGAGGGGGAATGGGACAAGGAATTTGAACTTTCCACATTGGTCTCAGCGCCCTGAACTATCAGGTTGCAACATGACCTGGGCTTGAGGCCAGAACATGTGGGCCAAGGTTACACTGCCTCCAGCCAATGGGGTCTCGCAGCCCCGCCACCACGCGGTAGACCACGCTCTTCCGCAAACCCCACCCCTGCTCCAAGTCCCTTATGGGGCTGCAGGTGTGGGTCTACGGCCAGCGGCCGTACGAAAGGGAGGAGGCTGGCTGAAGAAGAGTGATATTTTACAGAGAGGAAAGATCAAGGCCGGCCGATCCCCCTTGCTCGCCGATTGTTTTCAGTTGATAATTTATCCTGGTCCCTCTGCTCCCGGGAACTTTGCTCTAGGGCACTGGGCCAGGACCCCAGTTCGCTCCCTCCTCTGGGACAAGTAGGTGGGGCTGGAGCTGGGTGCGGCCCCGGAGCTCTGAGTCGTAGCAGGGGGTTCCTGGCTGCGTTACAGTTTCCCACAGATACCTGTTTCGGGGAGACCAGGTTTCCCCAGTCTCACGCAAGGCGGACAGCAGCACCCCCTGCTGGCTCTGGGCGGGTCTCGCGCACCCTCTTCCCGCTAACCTTGACATAGCGTTCTAAATCAGGCATGGTGGCTCAAGTTTGTAATCCCGGTATTTGGGAGGCTGAGAAAGGGGTCTAGCCTGGGTTACCTAGCTCCACGCCAACTCAATCTGAACTTCAGAGTGAGACTGTCTCACCAAGCTAAATCAAACCAAAAAGACAACGTACGGGCAGTCGGGAAGCGGGCAAGAAACTGTTTCCATATGAATTGACACTGGCTAGGAAGGCGATAACCAGAGAACTGCAGTGTGCAGAAAAGTCAGTGGTACTTTTCGGGGACTGCTGGGGATAGATGAAACAGTCACACGAATGGAGTCACACGAATGCAGGGAGGGAGTGCAAGGGATGGCTTATAGTTTGGAGAGTGGAGGGACACCTGTCATTTCCTAAGAGCAGAAGCAGAGAACCAGGGAGAGGGGCCCCGACTGCAAGAGGCCCTGCAGAGTGGAGGGCAAGAGAGTGGCGCCACGAGCAGATAATAGAACGCAAATGATTCATAAGCTTGGGTCAGGAGACTGACTCGGAACCCCAGGAAGGGGAGAATGTCTAGGTTGTGTCCAGAGTTCTCCGAAGCATCGTGGAAACAGAGCCCCAGTGCGCGATCCCCCACGGAAAGCTGGGATTCGGGCTCCCCAGTCTGCCCTCACCTGTAAGCCAGGCTCAAGCACTCGAAGAGCCGGGTGAGTGTCGGATCGATGCTGCGTGGCCCGAAGTCGGTGACCCCCATGGACCCCTCCTGGTCGCGTCGCCGGGTCAGCGAGTCGCTATGAGGCGAGGACACCATGAAGTGTCCGCTGTGGATGACCTGTGATCGGTGCAAACCACCCGCACTGCGCCGGAGACTCGGATCCTCCGAGTCTGTATCCGAGTCCGAATCGGGGCAAGGGACGACTCGGGGCACCTGCAAATCCACTGCTAGATCCGCCAGAGCGCGCGCCATGGCCACTAAGTCGCCAACTCCCCTGCGCTCTAGGGAGCAGCCAGAGCGCCTAACGTAGCCAGCAGAGCCTTATTAACCATGGCCACGCTCCAGTTTTCCTGATAGGTCCTTGGGGTGGGCGTGTCCTTGGTGGTGGGTGGGGTTTAAATTAGTATAATCAATGAGCCCGGTATGAAACTACTGGTCCCAGAGCTTAGGCAATGGCCTTTCTTTCTGTTACAAGCCCTTTTTAGGGCTTTCTGTTATAAGCCTCTACTTCTCAGGTCTCAGAAAAGATCGGCTGGGGAATGGGGCTACAACCCGGCTGATAGAGTGCTTGCCTAGCATGCATGAAGCCCTGAGTTCAGTCATCTGCACCACAAAAATTTGGCATGATGGCAAAGGTCTGGGATCTCAGCACACGGGAGGTAAAGGCAAAAAGACCCTAAGTTAGAGCCAACAATATGGCTAACATGTGAAGATGTTTGCCACCGCCAGGCCTGACGACATGAGTTCCAACCCCCAGGACCAACACAATGGAAGAAAATACTGGACTTGTTTACGTTGACCTTTGAACTCCACACGTGTGCGTAGCACACGCGGTCACAAACACATAAACACTAAATAACTAAGTAAATAAATGAAATATCAGAGGTTCAAGATCTCTCCCTGCTTCATAGTGAGTTTAATATGTACCTCGCCTGCCTTCCTTCAGTTTTCCAGCATCCTATGTGGTTGAACCCCAATGTTAGCTTGCACCCAACTTTTCTTATGATTGTCCTACACCTGTATAATAAAGTCCAGAAGTGGTGTGTGTGTGTGTGTGTGTGTGTGTGTGTGTGTAATCCCTGAGGGTCCACCCTCTCTGGATCACCTCCCCTGTTCTCAAGCAGGGCTTTCTGCTCAGAAAGTTCTCTCACGGACCCGGAGGTCCAGCTTCTGATCCTGCCTTTTTTTTTTTTTTTTTTTAAGGACAAACACTAGGCTGGGCATTAATAACAGCTACCTAACTGAACAGGTAAAAGTCCTCTTCTGAGATACCAGCTAAGGACGGCTCAATGGTAGAGTGCTTACCCAACCTTCCCAAGGTCCTGGGTTCGATCCCCTACACACACACACACACACACACACACACACACACACACACACAAGCAAAATCCTTGTCTGAGGCAAACCACACAGCAATGAAAACACAGCCAAGGATCCCAAATCCTGATCTAGATGTGAAGATGTTGGCTCAAAGCCTGTTTTCTGTGCACCAGGCCTCCTACCCCAGGGAAAAAAATCTCTGAGCTGCATTCCACAGACTCCACTCACTAGGGGAGTGGGATGGAAGGATCCTTGGTGACCCTACTTTACACCCCCCCCCTTCAGTTGTTCTTCAAACTAGCAGCTTCATTTGTACCTCATTCTATTTCCCAGGCCCCGAGGAAAACCTTCAGAGACCTCAGCAATAAAAAAGATAGACTTAGAGCCAGGCGGTGGTGACACGCCTTTAGTCCCAGCACTCAGGCAGAGACAGGCAGATCTCTGTGAGTTCGAGGTCAGCCTGGTCTACAGAGCAAGTTCCAGAACAGTCAAGGCTACACAGAGGAAACCCTGATTCAAAAAACAAGCAAACAAACAAACAAAAAGATAGGCTTAAACCGGTGGTGGCGGCACAGCCTTTAGTCCCAGCACTTGGGAGGCAGAGACAGATGGAGCTCTGAGTTCGAGGCCAGCTTGGTTTACAAAGAGAGTTCCAGGATAGCCAAGGCTACACAGAGAAATCCTGACTCAAAAGAAAAGGGGGAAAAAGGAATAAAATAAAGATAGCTTGCTTATAAAATTCCCAGCACTGTGGAAGCAGAGACGAGATCATCATATTTAAAGGCCAGTTTAGTCTACATAAAAAGTTCCAAGGCTGGGCCTGTAAGTTTAGTTGGTTACTCATCCAGCAAGTAGGAAGCTGTGGGTTCAGTCCTTCAGCACTGCATAAACCAGGTGTGGTATTCACCTCTGCGATCTCAGCACTGGGAAATAGAGGCAGAAGACCAGGAGTTGAAAGCCCTGCTGGCTACTCGCAACTCTGAGGCCAGCTTGGGGCTACATAGTGAGACGCTCTCACTCCAAAACAAAACAGGACCCGCGAGATGGCTCAGCGGGTAAAGATGCCTGCTGCCAAGCTTGACGACCAATCCTTGGAACTCACATGGTAGAAGAAGAGAACCAACTCCCACGAGTTGTTCCGCGACCTTCACCCAAGAACACTTTTGGCACATGGGCGTGTTCTCTCTCCCTCTCTCTCTCTCTCTCTCTCTCTCTCTCTCTCTCCCTGTCTCTCATGCGCGCATGGGCACACACACACACACACACATATAAATAAACACAATAAATGTTTAAAAAGTCAAAACAAAAACCTTCAAACAACAACAACAAAAACCATTGTAGTGCGCAACTAATACAAGAGCGTCCCAAAGTTTTGATTTTGCCCACAGTGGCATGGCATGACATGACACGAGGCCTCTTCCAGGTGGCACGGTGTCAGATGGCCTGGGTGACCTCTCGGTGCCTTTCTCCCTTGCCCTCTAGTACCCGATGCCCAGAGTTCGCAGCCTCTTAAATAACCTAGTCTGGTTCACGGTCCATGGGTTGCAGGATGAATCCTGACTGGGTGTGGAGACCCAGTTTTTCCCAGCAATCCTTCCTGACGCCCTTTCAGCCTTCTAGGCTTGCCTTTTGAGGTTTCTCTCTTAGACTGCCCACACTGAAGTACCACCTTCTTGCGGTCACCATGCCGCCCTGGTTCCAAACACTAGAAGATGGATTTCCTTCTGCAAAGATTCACAGTGGGCGCACTGGCCTCTCTTTCCCACTAGGTGGCAAATTCCCTGGCAAAACCAAGAATCTGTGACTCTTTTACAGTCCAACTTCCCCCTTAGAAGCAAATGTGACACTAATGCACATAAAATCAAAATAAATAAATTGTGTAGAAAAATATTTTGCCGGGTGGTGGTGACACATGCTTTTAATCCCAGCACTCGAGAGGCAGAGGCAGGCAGGTCTCTGTGAGTTCAAGGCCAGCCTGGTCTACAGCGTGAGTTCCAGGACAGGCTCCAAAGCTACATAGAGAGACCCTGTCTCGGAAAACAAACAAACATACAAGGAGCAAATGTGGCCAGGCTTGGTAGTTCGTGCCTTTATCCCAGCACTCAGAAGGCAGAGGCAGGAGGACTCCTGTGAGTTCAAGGCCAGCCTAATCTACGGAGCTAGTTCCAGTGCAGCCAGGACTATCCAGAGAAACCTTGTCTCAAGAAACAGAAATAAGAAAGCTAACATATAGTTGCTGAATAGATGAGTTAGTCACATTTGTCTGCTAGCTATGCTGTGTCCATCTGTCCATCTATCTACTCACCCCTTCATTCACCCCTCTACACATCTGTACCTGTACATCCATCCATTATCCATCCACCTGCTTTCTAGCTGTACATCCTTGACCCATCTCTTGTTCATCCGTCTGTTCTGTATCCATCATGGATTCCGTTATCTATCCATCGATCACCATCTGTCTACCCACCCGCCAATCCATTCATCGTCTATTTATCCGTTTGTTCGCCCATTGTCCGTCTGTCTTAGTGGCCGTTTCTGTTGTTGGGAAGAGTCACCGTGATTGAGGCAACTCTTTTTTTTTTTAATTTTGGTTTTTTGAGACAGGGTTTCTCTGTGTAAGAGTCCTAGTTGTCCTGGAACTCACTTCGTAGACCAGGCTGACTTCAAACTCACTGAGATCCACCTGTCTCTGCCTCCCAAGGGCTGGGATTAAAGACGTGCACCACCACCGCCCAGCGAGGCAACCCTTATAAAGGAAAACGTTTAATTGTGGTGACTTGCTTACCGTTTCAGAGGTTTGGTCTATTATCATCATGGAGAGAATCAAGGCAGCACGCAGGCAGACATGGTGCTGGAGAAGGAGCTGAGAGTTCTTACATCTTGACTCACAGGCAGCGGGAAGTGGTCTGAGACACTGGGCCATATCTTGAGCATATAGGAGACCTCCAAGTCTGTCTCCACTGTGACACACTTCCTCCAACGAGGCCATACGTACTCCAATAAAGCCATACCACCTAATAGTGCCACTCCCTTTGGGGAGAATTTTTTTTCAAACCTCCATGCCATCCAACCACCTACTGTTCATCTAGCTGTTCATCTCTCCATCCAAGCTTCTCCTTCTCCATCCCATTGTCTGTCTGCACGTCCACTCACCCACCATCTGTCCATCTACTATCCACTCCTTCATCACCTGATCACTCTCCCTATGATCCATCCATTCAACGGTGCCTTAGTTACTTTTCCGGTTGCTGTAATAAAGTACTCCGGCAAAAGCAAATTAAGGGAGGAAGTGTTTGCTCTGGTGCATAGTTCAAAGGCACCGTCGTGCCGCGGAGGAGAGGGGAAGGTAGCGGGAGCTTGGAGCATCTGGTCACAGCAGGACACAGAAGGCAGGAAAGGTGCTGCCGCTCAACAACCTTTCTCCATGAACACGGTCCGGGATCCCAGCTAGGGAATGGAGCTGTCCACAGTGGGTGGGTCTTATCTCAGTGAACCAAATCAGAAGAATCCCTTTCTGGACCCGTCCACAGGCTTATCTCAAAAGCAGCTCTAGATTCTGTTGAGGTGACAATAATATCACATCACATCAACTACCAGCCATCTACCTTTGTTTTTTTTTTTTAAAAGGCAGGGTCTCACTTTATAGCTCTGACTGGCCTAGAACTCACTCTGTAGACCAGGCTGGCCTCAAACTCAAAGATCTGCCTGCCTCTGCCTCCTGAGCACTGTGATTAAAGGCAGGCACCACCATACCTGGCCTGATCCACCAATTCTTGTACCCAGCCATGTATGTGACATCCAACCATCTCTCTATAAATCCATCTACCTATCCATCTATTATCTTTTTACCTATCAATAATCTACACACACAGAGAATGAGAGGGATGGAGAGAGAGAGAGAGAATTAAATCCATATTTTATGCGCCTGTCTCAGTGCTAAGCATCCACATTTTTGGAGCGTGTGTCTAAACATATGAATGGACC